ACAACAGAGCACAGCAAAAAAGGCTTTTTGCAGATGCTGTAGCTTTCATAAGCTATTTATTTCCTGTTATTCAAGCATGTCACAAAAGCAGGTGTGTGTATTTAGTTAGTATTGCCTCAATTTCACAGAGCCGGTCGATTTTCAAAGAACTTGCATGGAATCATAATGCAGTACTGTGTACAATGTACTTTCACATTGTCTGTGGGGTGCTGGTAAACATTGCTATTCTTATTATTGTTACGTGTATGCTGGCAAAAAGGTCCAGAACAAATCTACAGATGTGGTTGTATAAGTATATAACAGCTGGATACTCACTACTACAGTTGACCCGCTGTTTGAGATAGATGCTTGTGTTTTGTTTTGTTTTTGTTTTGTCTTGTCTCTAAACTGTATCCAAGCAAACGCACGCCAAATAAACAGACCTGTTTATTTTTACATGTAGTGTTTACCATCTGATTTGTACCACTTGGGGGCAGCAAAGTAAAAGCAGAGTATGGAGCAGTGCATCAGAGAACAAATGCTTAGTTTGAACTCCTCCGTAGGCTCCTGTCAGGGCTTAAAGTGTTTAATTCATTGTGATTTTTTTTTTTGTCAGATTGCATTGTTATCCTCATTAAACATTTTGGGTTTAAAAGGATCTCAAGCATACCAAAGAATCATATATTTTCATTCCCTGAAAACAACAAACTAGGTAAGCACACCATACCCATATTTTGTGCATTTTTCTGCATATATTAACATTACTTTAGGTTTTAGTTTAATACTGTTGTGAATACTACTTTTTTTTTACTGATGCTGTTTTCCTAGATATTTTTTCACTGCTAAACCCTCATTTTAATTTAAAATTTCTTTTATTTATTTATTTTTAATGTAGTCAGGACCCATCCATAATATGGAAATAAAATGTTAATAGATTATATATAAACTGCTTATTGTGCAGATGCTAATGATCATTTTAGTCCACAGTTACTCCAGCAGAAAAAAATGTGCCGTGTATTCATTCTGCAGTTTATGAAAATGAAAGGCTGCTAACCTACAGTATACTGTAGATGGAGAGATTAAAGGCATGACCCAGTTTTAGAGTGGACCAGGACTGAAAGCAAACCTTTGGCCTTGGCAAACCACACTAGAGATTATCAATAATAATCCAAAGGGCCAAAGCTGAAGTGGGGAGCTTGAGAACAGGTGCTCTTGTAGTGATACAAGTACTGTTCAGTTTATTCAAAGTTTCCCTTTCTATTTTTGGTAAATCTCCTTTTCCGCCCAGGTAAATACATGACTTTCCTTTCATTTATTTTTTTAAGCAGGGGGGAAAGGGCAGCTTGTTTTAACTGGAATTTTATCAATTTATGTTAAACATATCAAGCTCTCCAGATACCGTATAAACCCACAAGTCTGTTTTCAGGGAATAAAATATATGATTTGAGTGTATCTTTGGTATGCTTGAGATTCTTTCAAACCCAACAAGATTAATCCAAAATATTCTTCGTCTTAGTGATAAACATATCTACATGTTCACTAGTCCTTTTTCCAGACTCTCACGTTTCAGAGACATGTACAGAAACAGAGCCAAACTAATTCTACATGTAGCTCTCTCTGTCAACATCGCATCTTGATAAATGGCCAAAAACGTGTTCTAAATATGAGCTATGTACTCTAATCCTGTACAACAAGCTGAAATGTTCATGGCAGAAACATTCAGTCATATAATCATCATTACATGGAATTTGAAATAAAATGTATTTAAATGCTTCAGCTATCATTTTAATTTTGTAAAATAGTCGGCTATA